GAGGAGCAGACCGATATCCGACTTCTCGAACATGGAAACGAGAGCTTCCGATGCTGCTGAACTTATTCGTATACACGAAACCTCTGTGGATGCTCCGAATGTCACGATGCGGTCGGAAAAAAAACGATTAATTGCCCCAAAAAGTTGCAAAATGCGAATCGTTGTTCGGTCATACTTCGAGTAGCAAACCGATCTCAGGCTTCTCGATCCTCTAGACTAAATTCCTACGTGTTGCTGAAGTTTTTGATGCACATGAAACGTCTGTAGCTGCTCTGAAGATTCAGTCCATAAGCCGAGCGCATGTACTAAATATCGTCTCGGGGCGAGTGCCCCCCTTCAAACTGCTCCGTGCGACCTGAGATCAAAACGGCGAGCTAGAATAGTATCGAAGTTTGCCGGAACAAATACCCCACCCAGAATGAATTGTCAAACGTCTTCCAACATATTTTTCAACTAGTCGAATGTTATCTATTTGTCCGTCGAGGTGTTTCGAGTTAGCTAGCCCAGAAGTGATCCCGTATTACTCTTAGCTTTCGCAGCTTCGCTACCAGGGAAGCTCTACGAGTCACATGCAATTGTGATCACCGTCGTTGTATGCACCGCATTCGGAGGAACTCCCTATAGGGCCACCAAACGTGCGAAAGGTGTGCCAAAAACATTGTCCGGTGGGCGCCTGCGAAAGCAGCCACTGGGGCCGCCGGTGGGATTCCCCATGGGGCAACGAAACGCGTGAGAGGTGTGCCGAAATATGTGCGGTGAACGCATGCGAACGCAGCCACTGGGGCCGTCGGTGGAGCTCCCTATGGTGTCGCGAAGCGTGCGAGGGGTGCCGAAATCGGTGCGGTGGGCGCATGCGAACGCATCCACTGGCGCCTTCGGTGGAGCTCCCTGTGGGGCCACGAAACGTGTAAGGGGTGTGCCGAGTGGGCGTGGGTGGCGCCTGTGGGCGGTGGCACTGGGGCCTTCCCTAATGTGGCCACGAAGCGTGTGAGGGGTGTGCCGAAATGGGTGTGCGTGACGCATGCGGGCGGTGGCACTGGGGAATTCGGTGGAGCTCCTTATAGGGCCACGAAACATGTGAGGGGTGTGCCGACATGGGTGTGCATGACGCATGCGGGCGGTGACACTGAGGCCTCGGTGGAACTCCCTGTGGGGCCACGAAACTTGTGGGGCGTGTGCCGACATGGGTGCGTGACGCATGCGGGCGGTGGCACTGGGGCCTTCGGTGGAGCTCCCTATGGGGCCACGAAACATGTGAGGGGTATGGTGGCATGGGTGTGCGTGACGCATGCAGTCGGTGGCACTGGGGCCTTGAGTTCCATATGGGGCCACGAAGCGTGTGAGTGGTGTGCCGAAATCAGAGTGCGTGACGCATGCGGGCGGTGGCACTGGGGCCTTCGGTTGAACTTCCTATGGGGCCACCAATCGTGTGAGGGGTGTGCCGAAGAAATGGGTGTGCGTGACGCATGCGGGTGGTGGCACTGGGGCCTTCGGTGGAGCTCGTGACGCATGCAGGCGGCGGCAGTGGGGCCTTCGGTGGAGCTCCGTGTGGGGCCACGAAACGAGTGAAGGGTGTACCGAAATTGGTGTGCGTGACGCATGCGGGCGGTGGTACTGGTGCCTTCGGTGGAGCTCCTTTTGGGGCCACGAAGCGTGTGAAGGGTGTGTGCCAAAGCGAGTGGGGGACAAGAGGAGGGAGGAGGAGGGGGAGGAGAAGAGGAATGCGGGGACCGTGTCTTCAAATCGAGAACCAAACACCACAGTATGGTTGGGAAACAAACTTATGCAACATAGAGGGAAAAGGAACCACGAGAGAAATTAGCAACAGGGGGGCTAGAATCAGAAAGCACGTGGTAGAACCAAACGAGCAGACCGGGCGGGCAGACCCCAGCGGGCGGGTCCCGAAGGCGGGCCCAAGCGACGGGCACGAACGAGCGGGGGGCACAGAGGGCATACGTATCTGGGGCCGCAGAGAACAAGGACCACGCCACTGAGGGCAGCAACGGGGCCACGAACGCAACGAGGGGGCAACGAAGGGCGACAGCGGGGCCACGAAATGGCACGCATATGGGGCCAGGGCGGGCGAAAACGGGCGGGAGTCACGAAGAGCACACATATATGGGACCAGAAATGGCGACAGCGGGGCTACGGAACACAGTGATGGGGCCACAAAGGGCAACGAGGGGGCCACGCAGGACGACAGCGGGGCCACGAAGGGCATGCGTATGGAACCACAAAGAGCGCGAACGAGCGGTGGCCACGAAGGGCGGGGCCACAGAGGGCAGCGACGGGGCCGTTGAGGGTAGCACCAGGGCCACAAACGGCAGCGAGGCGGCCAGAGGTGGCGACAGCGGGGCCACGAAGAAAATACGTATATGGGGCCACGCGACAGCGGGGTCACAAAGGGCAGTAATGGGGCCACGAAAGGGGCAGCGAGGGAGCCACGAAGGGCGACAGCGGGCGACGAAGGGCATGCAGATGGGGCCACGACTAGCGCGTGCGAGCGGGGGCCACGAAGAACATATAATATGGGGGCCACAAAAGGCAGCGACGAGGCCACTGAGGGCAGCAACGGGGCCACGAAGGGCGCGAACGAAGGCGACCGCGGAACCATAACGGGCAGCGATGGGCATCGAGAGCGGACGAAGGGCAGCGAGAGGCGACTGCAATCGTTGACGGGCGGGTCGGGCGGGCGGGCCCCGACGGGCGGGTCGAGCGGGCGGGCCGCTGAAGCACGAATCCTGCTTGAATCACGTGGAAACCTTTCGCGACAACGCGGCTCCCAAGATAATCCGGAAAAGGTCCAACACGAAAACGCGATTCCTGACTGTCGATGGGCGGCATCTGAATACATTGTGAGGGGGTCCAAGCGAGAGCGAATTTCCTGAGTAGATGGCAAAGAAATCTCGGGCGAAATTCACATTCGTCAATACATTGTGAAAAATATCAAGCGGGAGCCGTTGTGGTTGTAGTTCGGGGGCCCGCCGCCCGTGTCGATGAGCGGCATCTGAAGAAGTTGTGAGGAAGTCTCAAGCGAGAGCGCGATACCTGCGTAGATCGCAAGGAAGTCGCATGCGACAGCTTGATTTCTCAATGACTTGTAAGGAAGTTTCAGGCGGGAGCCGTTGTTGTTGTAACTCGGGGGCCCGCCGCCCAATTTGAGGCTCAAGACTTTCCCTGGTGAAAAGCCAAAAGCGAGCTCTGGGAGGGGCACTTCAATACGGTAAATACAACGCTCATTGGAGAGGGGGATCAAAATATATTATTCTTCTTCAGAAGTAAAAAAACAAAGGTCCCCGCTTGATGCTTCCTCACTATTTACTCCCAAATCGCGCTTTCGCGCGGGACGTCCTCACTATGTATGCAAGAATCGCGCTCTCGCGTGGGATTTCCTCACCATGTTTTCAGACGCCGCGCCCTCGACATTCAGGAGTCATAATTCCGCCGTGGATTGCCTTAGGGCTTCTTTGACAATCGCGCTATCTGTCCAAACTTCCTCGCGATTCATGCAGGACGCACGCTTCAGCAACCCGCCTGCTCGACCTGGCCGCCTGGGCCCCCTTTTTCCCGGCCCGCCCGTTAGGGTCTACCCGCCCGATCTGCCCGTCTGGTTATGCTACGTGTTTTCTGCTCCCAACCTCCCTCCTGCTACTGTCTCTCGTGTTCCGTCGTCCTCCCTCCCCCTTGTCCCTTCCTTCCATCCGTCCTCCCTTCCCCTGCATTAGGGGCTGCACGAAATACACGTCGCAGGTAAGAAAGATATACCCCAAAGGGGGTACGATCGAAGACGATGAGGGCGAGTATCGAGAGTTTGGGATATATGTGATGAATGGCACGCGAGCAGATGAGAACGACCAATTTAAAACAGACGGTTGTTGATGTAGTTGTTGATGTTAGTGTTGTGGTTGTTGTTGTCTTCAGTGTAACTGTGATAAGTGTTGTGTTGCTGCTGTTGTTGATGCTGTTGTTGTTGTAAACCGGGGGGGGCAGCAACAGGGTCTGAGGCGCAATGCTTTCCCTTGGAAACATGGTGCGGCTCCTGGGAGGGGCACTTCAGTAGAAAAAAACACAAGGTGCACTAAATGGATGGATTCACCATACTTATTCCCAAAGAATTCAAACTCAACAGCCAGAATCCTGGCCACGGAATCCCACTTCAACCACGCACCCAAGGACAACGAATGACCGTTCGGCTCCCTCACGCTGATCCCTTCGCAACTCAGTCGTTGCGGTTCTCGGGCCACGGCTTCCTCGTCGGTGGTTCGTCACTACTCCTGCCAACCCTCAGTATCGTGTCATCACGTCTGGGCGCGCTTCTCGTACACCCCCTACCAACAACTGGCCGCTTGCGTCGGATCGGGCCGCATCGGCTCGGATTTGGAGTCGAGTCGAGCCGGATCCGCCGCGCCAATCGGTGCGCAACAATGCTGCAAACATAAGGCCACGTCGGGCCGTGGGAATGCCGGAACCGGGTCGGAATCGAATCGGATAGAAGTATATACCCTGTGGTCATGACGAAAGTGATGTCATGATGCAATTGGCTGAGGATGCGCTCCAAGATTTCTCGAGTATCTCGCGTCCCTCGTTTTTGGAGCCCGTGCGAAACAGTAGGAAACCTTAGACCTCTTGCTCCTCTAAGCTCGGAGGCTCAAAGATGGGGCCCTGAGGGATAGGGCCCTATGCGCAGAGATGATCACAAGGTGAACCTTCACTGTCTGAGGTTCTCGCCCTTGGAGCCCCATCTCTCAGGGCCCCATCTTTGGACCGAAGATACCCTGCCCTGACATCCACCGATTTGAATGTTCCGATCCTCGCCAAAAAAGTCTCGACCGCTTCCACGGGGGGCATTCGTCGTCCTGGATCATTTGTGATGGCCCCACGGCCCGAACGCGGCCCCCCGAGGGACAAAATCGAGAAAAAGCAGCCAGTTGAACAAAAAAAAGATCTTCGGCGATCTCGGTAAGGGGCGTGCGCCCCAGGGCTTTGGCACCCCCGGACGCCTGTGCCGAAGATGCCGCCCCCGCTGCCCTCCGCCGGCTTCGCGGCGCCGCCGAAGATGCCGCCGGCCGCTGCGCCGCCCGAGCCCGAGGCCGCGGCGGACCCGCCGCCGAAGATGCTGGCCGCCGCAGCGGCCGCGCCGCCCGAGCTCGGGGCGCCACCGCCGAAGATGCTGGCGGCCGCGCCGCCGGAGGCTGCGCCGAAGAGGCTTGCGGCGCCGCCGCCTGGGTCCTCTCTGGGGGCAGAGGCGGCTCAGACCCAGATCTCCGGCGATGTGCTTATTTCAGTCCCGTCGTTTTTTGCCTAGATCTCGGCTCCTGGGCCGCGGAACTAATTATGATCAAACTTGGATCCGGGGCAACGATCTGGACCTGAGAAAGAGGTCGGGACCTCTAGGACCGCGCATGGCAAAAAGATGGCATCGTCGGACGTCCGAGGAGAGGAGGGGGAGGAGGAGGAGGAGGAGGAGGAGGAGGAGGAGGAGGAGGAGGAAAAAGAGGAAGAGGAGGGGAAGAAGGCAGCACCGACAGCGTGGACGTCGCGCAGCGAAGCGTTGCCAGTCGCGAGGCGAGGCCTCATCGCCGGTGACATAACCAATCATTGTGCAACGATGCGAGGCTCGTGGAAGGCCGAAGGCCCTTGCCGCCACGGCCGAATCCGCCGCGGATTCCGATCGCTTTTTTGGAGGTAATTTTTCGTCCCGTATCCATGTCTGATGACTCCGGGGCCCGAAGACGCTGCCCTGGAGGCCGAGATTGAGGGAAAACGCTGGTTGAAAAACCATGCCGTCGGAAATCTGGGACTGCTCACCACGAGTGTTACAAACCTGGACGGCCGGGCGCCCCGAGGCCGCATCGGGCTGGACCAAAGTCGCAGGCAGCTCGTGGACGTGCGCGCGGGCACGCAGAGCAGAACGCCTGCTCGCTAGAAAATGATCAGTGGGATCTGGAGCTCGCTCAGAGACGCGGGGCCTCGAGGGGCCCTCGCTGGGCCCCAGGACCGTCGGAACGCACACCAGGGAGAGGCCCGGGGAGCAGAGGCATCGGCATTCTCTTGTTCCTCGCAGGGGCGGGCGCGGCCAGCGCTCCTGGCGCACCCCGCTCTCCCCAACGCCGAGGCCTGAGGGCCCTTTGACCCTCGGCATCTCACGCCCGCACACGGTGTCACGCCCAGACTGCGGGCTCACGCCCAACAGGGCCTCACGCCCGAGACGGCATCGCGCCTCCCCGATCCACCTCCCCCTCGGTGGCGCGCGCACGAGGTGGCGCCAGGGGGGAGGGGGCCTTTCTGCGAGCGCCCACCCCTCCAGAGACGCCGCGCCGCCGAAAGCTGGGTCTTGCGAACAACCCCCTCATCGAACCGCCCATCCGTCTTCCCGGCTCTGGACGCCGCCGCGGCCGCGAGGCAAGGCGGGGTGTTGAACGTACCTCCTCTTCCAATGCCATTAGATCAGGATACGTCCCAGGAGCTCCAGGAGAGCATCTGGGAGGCCCTCCTGTCTGGAGCTCGTGCGGAACGACAAGAAAACCTGGAACGCGTAAGGAACGCATCGCGATCATGCCGTGCCCTGGCCGGCCGAGGCGGCCGAAGCGGAGCTGCCGGCGGCCGCCGCGCCGCGGCCCGACGGCGAGGCGCCGGCCGAGGGGCCCGTGGGCTCTGGGCCGCCGCCAGCTCCTCCTCCTCCTCCTCCTCCTCGTCCTTTTCGTCCTCTTCGTCCTCTTCTTCCTCCTCCTTGTCCTCCTCCTCCTCCTCCTCCTCCTTGTCCTCCTCCTCCTTGTCCTCCTTCTCCTTGTCCTCCTCCTCCTCCTCCTCCTCCTCCTTGTCCTCCTCCTCCTCCTCCTTGTCCTCCTCCTCCTCCTCCTTCTGCTTCCTCCTCCTCCTCCTCTCAGGGCCGGCCCCCCTTCTTCCCGGCCTTGGTCGCCGCCGCGGCCGCGCCGAAGATGCTGCCGGTGGCCGCCGCACCTGCGACGGGGGCGGCGGCGGGCTCGGAGGCCGAGCCGCTGCTCGGCGAGCCTGCGGGGGGCTACACAGCAGGCCATCGCCACCGCCGCCGGCCGCCGCGGGAAGGCCACCCGTTGGGTGGACTTTCGTTTCGTCCTCTTTCGGTTCGTCCGCGGACGAAATGACGTCCGAAATTAGACGAATCGAAGCGGACGAAATGAAATTCGGACGACATGAAGCGGAATCCGTCCGTCGGGGGCGTCCAAGAGGGGGGGGGGCGCAAATCATGGCCCAAGGCTCGTGCTCGGGCCAGGGGGGGGGGCAAGGGACGTATTGAACTTAACCCCGCCAGACCCCCCCATAGTCATCACTTTCCTCTTGGCCGCCCGCGAACCCGAGGGATAGCGGCGAGCCGCCGAGAACTGCCCTGGAGATCGACCCGCCGCAAGCGCCGGCGTTTTGTGTGCAACGCTGTACGCATGCTTCCAAGAGAGAAGAAGTGCGGTCATCGTGCTACCACAGGGCACGCTGAACGAAGAACGAAGGGGCCTCTCTGACCACGGCGAGACTCGGCTACGAAGAGGTTCCCAGACCAAGGTCCAAGAAGCGGCCGAAAACAACAACGCCTCCAAGGAGAGGCTCGAAAACCTGAGCGCCTCCGCCTCTCCACCTGCTCCTCCTGCTCATCTCCATCCTTTTTCCACTCCATTTTCTCCCATCTCTTTCCCCTCCCTACTCCCCCTATTCCTCATAGCCTCCTCCTCATCGTGCTTCTGAGTCCTCCCCTCTCATGATCTATGTTCTTCTTGGCATTGGAGCGGCGGCGCTCTTTTGCACGTGACGCCGTCGCTGTGGAGCAACGGGAAACAAGAAAGAACCACCACGGACGGAATACAAACAAACTGAGCCGTCCGCAAGCGACTCAAATGCAAGTCGGCCCATCAAACTGATACGCCCGTACGCGAGTGACATACCGAATGACTCGTGGAATAATCCCCGATGCAGAACAATCACAACCAAGAGCGATGAGACGTTTTATCCGCCACCGTGCCTTCATGGGCACGGAGTGGGCGTGCCTTCAGGTCCGTTGCCTCATTCTTCAAGCCTACATCCTCAGTCCCGAAGAATATCTTCAAGGCAGCCCAACTTGCCAGTTCTCTCAGGGCTTGGCGCCGCTTGTCGGTGGCTGCCCGCGTCTTGTCGTATGACTTCTCGGACCCACGGAGGCTCAGGATGCTTTCGAGGTCTCAATGCTTGGTGACGGTCGCGTTCACATCCCTCCTCCCCCTCCCCCATCCTTTCCTCCCTCCGCCCCCCTCCAAGTGGTACTACAGTCAGTGGACGATTGTTGGTAGTGAAATTTCAACGCAGCATATCTGATCGGGAACGTGTCGGTCATGTTCTGAACCTCATTGTGTCCGTAGCCTCTTTGACTCTAGCGGGGCGATTTCATAGCGCGCCGATCGACCGACCGATCGACTGACCGACCAACCCATACAACGACGACCGACGACCACGACCAACAGACCGAACAACCGACCCCGACGATGACTGGACCGACCGACCGACCGACCGAGACGACGAACGACGACTACCGACCGACCGACCGAGACGACAACCGACGACGACAACCGACAGACCGACCGACCGACAGACAACCGACGACCGGACCGACCGACTGGCTGACCGAGACGACGACGACCGACGACTGGACCGAACGACCGACCGACCGACCGACCGAAACGACGACGACCGACGGACCGGCCGACCGACCGAGACGACAACGACCGACCGACGACGACAACGACTAACGGACCGACCGATCGACCGACGTCAACGACCAGACCGACCGACCGACCAACCATCCGCACACGCACGAGCGCGCGGATTGCCCGAATTTGGGAGCGAGGCGTGAATACAATGCTAGGAGCCCCTCCCTTGGGCCCGTGCCCCCCATCCCACTCGATTCATACCATGAAAATCCTAAACGGAATGTGGCTTCAGCCTCTGATTTCTAAAAGGGAATATACTCCAGCCGCTCACGCCGACAAGACGAGTGCGCTCCAACAGCTGCCAACTGTTCGACCTCAAGCCTCAATGTTCCCCTACATCCAAAGTGGCGTTTGTGTTTTCTCAGCGCACCCCCGCGCAGGAACCGCACCCACCTTCTCTGTCTCACTCACACATTCACGCAATCGCACACTCATTCTCCTCCTCCTCCTCATCATCATCATGATCATCAGCATCAGCAGCATCATCATCAACATCGTTATCATCAGCATCATTATCCTCATGCCCATCGCCCATCATCATCATCAACATCATATTCATCCTGATCATCATCATCATCGTCAGCATCATCTTCATCATCAGCAGCATCATCATCATCACCATTATTCACTCAATCACTCACACACTCACTCAAATGCCCACACACGCTCACACAATCATTCATCATCATCACCATCATCCATCATCGCCATCGCACCAGCATCACCATCATCCCATCATGGTCCTCGGTCGTCAACATCACCCTCACACCCACTCACACACTCACACAATCATCTTGAGGACCTCTCGATCAGGAGTCTCTTCTGTGTGAATCGCGAGGAAGTCTAGAGCGAGAGCCCTTCCCTATGAGGACCCCACCTCCACGTCCGACATCCTCTTCCAAAGCCTCTATTCCACATCCTCGCTCCGATCTCCACGCTGGCTCTTTCTCGTCCCTTAGGCGTATCCTCCTCGTTCCCTTCCTCCCCCTCCTTCCTGTCTTCCTCATCATCCACTTCCTCTGTTCTGCCACTCCTCCTGCCCTTTCTTTTGCCACGTGCGTTCTCCCAATGGCAGTGTGACCGGCTCGGGGAACGTATGGTCCGATGTGGATGTCAGGATCGAACCCATACGTGCACTCACGCATGCAGTCCGGCAAGGATCCTACTCGTTTGGTGATGGTTTCTATGCTATCACATGTTCTTCTGAGGCTCGCCTCGTGCCATAAGGTCCCCCACATGTCGCTTCCCAAGAGGTCCTCCAGGAGGGCCCGAAGAGGCAAAATCCGCCGACCCCTTGCGGGTCTGTACGCGTGTCAGAGTCTTCACCCCCCATAACTCCCCCCAGGGGACTCCAAACCGGCAATTCGACCCCCCCCCCCCCCGGGACCTGGACGGCCCACCCCCGAACTCACCAGGGGCGGTCCGGGCTCCGGTGGCTCAGTCTGGAGCTCCAAGACACCCCGTCAAGCTTCCGAAAACACCCCCAACACGGTCCAAGAGAGCCAAAACTCGCCGAATGATCGATCCCAAATGCCTAAGAAGCCGCGAAAACACCCCAACAGGCCTCCAAGAGGCCCCCCAGTAAACCCGAAAGAGACCCATAGCGTCAAATTCAATGGGGGAACATACATTTCTAGCATATTCGACGTTTCGGCCTGCGCGGCGTTGACGAACATCCAAGAGGCACCCCAAACCGCCCAACGACAACCCCAAACCCGCACGAATCCCACCAAAACGGCCCCAGAGGGCTCCAAGCCGGCCCCAGAGGCGCCCAAGACGGCCCAAAAGTGTTCCCAGCATGTCCCAGACAAGGCCCAAGAGGGGAACCTCGAACCGAAAATCCAAATTTTCCGCCCGAGGAGACCCCCAGGAAACCCGAAGAGGCCTCTGGGAGGGCCCAAGAGGCCCCCAAAATGCACCCAAAAGCACCCAAAGGCCCCCAAGAAGTTCCAAGGTGGCCCCAAAACGGCCCCCAGGAGCCTTCGCAATTGCCTCCAAGAAGCTCGCAAGAAGCGTCCCCGCGAGGTTTCAACGGATAGCCCCGAGGCTTCGTGCCCACAACCCAGGCACGGCGGCCGGATGGGCCGAAGGCCACGAGACACCCGCACGGAACCCAGCCGTAGCGACAATGCCTCCCCAGGCAGTCCGATCCACCGCCTCTATAATAATTTCTTCCCCGTGGCCCCCAAACCGAAACATCGACCAACTCCCTCCTTTTCTATCAGTCCCTCCTCTTCCTGTTCCCCCTGGCGGCCCCAAGCACTCGCGCGCTGCCACAAGCGTTGCCGCGGGTCTCGCGCGCAGGCCTTGCACCTCAACGTGCGGTTCTGGTGCGCACGCGCGAAATGCGGTCCACCCGAGAACTGAGATTTGGGGAGCTTCCTTCACCAGGCGCCGAAGCACTCGCACGCTTGCCAATTGCGAGCCGTGAAACCTCACGGCGCGGCAATGCACTTCGCGCATACAACTTCACTCTTCCTCGTGAAGTGAACATTCTCCCGTCTGTCGCTGATGTGGTCCTGTCGAGGGAACCCCTTCTCGAGCGCAGCGCACTTGAGCTCTCGCTTCAACCGCTTCGCCGCATCGGCTACACCCTTCGCGGTGACGCCTCGCTTCGAACAATCTCCACACACCACTCCAACGTTTCTTTCTTTCAGATGGTCTTCCTTCTGCGTGTAGAACAAGCGCCGAGTGTCCCAGAACACTGCCCCGCAACCAGGAGCGCAGCACGTCAACAACGTCGCTTCCGCCTCAGCCTTCCTCTTGTGGTTCGTTGTCTCTGCGTTTCTTTCCGCGTTGCCATTTCTTTTTGCCTCGGCGCATGTCCAACACCCCCTTTCCCCGAGCGCAGAACGTCTCCTCTGCGCGCCCGACATTTCCGTGCTCTCGTCGAAAAGCGACAGGCGGACAATTCACTAATCGACGTGTCAGGGTAGGGGTGATGTGCCACTGCCGCAGGAAAACCATCTCGAAGCTACCCCTCACTCCTATCCGCATCTGCATGGGCGACGGGGAATATCAAGTGTCGCGCCTCTCGAGCACGACCCCGAAACCACGACTAGTCCAAAACACCCTACTCATGAAACCACATACCGCCGCCGTGAATGCGTCCACCACAGCCAGCGATACAGTCCACTACAGCCAGCGATACAGCCAGCCAGCCATACAAAAAACAAGGGGTCGGCGGATGTGGCGTGAGCCTCTAGAATCACTGATTCCCAATAGGTATTTGAAGGATGTCGGCATTTGTTTCTGTTCGGCCTTCCGACAGCCCAAAGCGGCCCACGAGTTCCTCCTCCTACTCCTCTTCCTCCTCTCCCTCCCTCTCCTGGTCCTCCCCCTCATCTTCCTCCAAATGCTCCCCCAAGAGTTTCCAGAACGGTTGGGGGAGCACTGATTCCGATGGCTTGGCCAAGCTGGGGTCCAACGTTTGGCCACAGAGGCGCTTCCTGCGGTGATTTGCCGCAGGCGTATTCGATGAGCCCACTGACTGCAGGCCCCTGCGACAGGCGATGAGCTGTTCCCCCAACCATTCCCGAGAGGGAAGTGCAGCTGAAAGGGGCTGCACCCGCGGCCCAAGCCGATGCCTACCCATACCACCATTACCACCTTCTCCACATCCGCCACCGTGCCTCGAGGTAGGACGTAGAATGTCCTCAAGTCACTCCGAATTCTCTATGTTGCGCGTTGTGGGTCGTATTTCAACGGCCCACAGCCTCGAGGTCCGTCACGCCCGGGCGCTCCCGCGCACACTCAGGGGTCGGTCACGTAACGTTTCTAGAGGCAAGACCAGCATAGCTCGGGACAAGCGTGTCCAACATGGCTTCAGATGGCGCTGGGGACTGTCCTGAAGTCCTCTTGGTCGCCTCTTGGGCCGTCTCTGATGCCCTAGAGGCCTGCCCAAGAACACCCACATCGTAAAATGCCCCCTGCGCTTCTCTGGTATAAGTTTAGCATTGCCGCCTTTTCGGTCTTCAGGGCGTCCAGGACGGCCCAGGAGCCCCCCAAGGATAGCCGAAAGACGGGCCACGAGCCCAGAATTGGGGCCCACGAGGCCCCCGAGGTGGCCCCAAGAACGGCCAAAGTTGGGAAACACGAGCTGACAGTTCGAGCCCTCCCCCTCAAGATGACCACAAGATCCCTCCCAGAGGCCCCCGCCCCAAGAGACCCCAAGAGCCCTCCAAGAGGCTCCAATGAGCCCCCAAGAGGCTCCTAAGAAGCCCTCAAGAGGCCCCCAAGAGCCCTCCAAGAGGCCCCGAAGAGGTACCCCAACAGAGCCTAACATGCACCCAAAAGGCCTCTGACCCACAAACGACGCACGGTGGCGGCCTCCTACCTTCCCTCCTACCTCATGCCTCCTACCTTCCCCAACCCCTCCCACTTCCTACCGCCTACCCTCCTTCATTGCACGAAGCGTCGGAACCAAACCCGTAATCGAAATCAGAAAACAGAAAAGGATCGGCTCCGAATCGGAATCGGTAGCGGCGAATCGAATCGGGCTGGATCGGTTCGGATCAGAACAGGTCACTCGTCGTCAGAGTCCCATTTCTCGGGGAGCTATCTTTCAACCGATCCGCCACCACCGTGTTGATTTATCACAAGGGTTGCTGGCGTGTCAAATGTGTTTGCCTGTTTGAACTCTTCTCAAAAATTCCCAATGGCGTCAGGCTCAACCCGCCGGCCACCAGGTTTTCAGCTTGAAGATGGCCCTAAAAATGGCTCCGACGCTCCGTGGCGAACCCCCCGCGTCTGAGAAGCCGCCCGCGGCACTGGAGAAGGCTCAGATGGCCCTCCAGAAACCGCAGAGGGCTCTAGCGAGGCCCCGCCGCCTCCTGAGAAGACCTGCCCCCTCTCCCACCCACCCTTGACGGGCTGAGTCATGGGGCGAGACCGCCCCCAAGTCGTCGTGTGGAAAAAAACGAAAGCATGTTTTGACAATTCTCGGCCTCTGGGAGCCCTCGCCGAGCCCCAGGACCATCAAACACTGTCCCCCCAAATGGGTCCAATGCTGCAACATCGGCAACTCTTCCGCTCAAAACCGGACCCCGGACCCCTCCTCCTGGAATCCATCCTGACCCGTTTTTCGAGGCGGATCCAGTCGTGGCGACCAAAAGCCTCAGGGAGTCCAGAAAATCGTGATCTCGAATGGCCCTCCCCCGATTTCTGACGCGACATCTAACGTTCCTGGGGTGGGGCAGGCTATCAGCCACCCAATGGCGATGAATGAGCGATTGCGGGCCGATGCCTATCCCCCTATGCCTGCTCCCCCTAACGCTGCCCTTGATTCCTCCTCCTCCTCTTGCTCCTCCTCCTCCGTCCTCTTCCATCCTTCACCTCCGTCCTCCTCTTCTCCTTTTCCTACTCTTCCTCCTTCCTCCTCCCTCCTCCTCCTGCTCCTCCTCTCCTCCTCCTTCTGCTCCTCCTCCTCCTTCTCCACCTCCTCCTCCCCCAACTCCTCCTCCTTCTCCTCCTTCTGCTCCTCCTCCTCCTCCTCCTTCCTCCTCCCTCGCCGTCCTAATGTTATATTATATGTTTCCTCCTCCTCCTCCTCCTCCTCCTCCTCCTCCTCCTCCTCCTCCTCCTCCTCCCCCTCCTCCTCCTCCCCCTCTTCCGACGTCCGCTACACTCCAAAAATCCCGACCGCTTCCCTGGGGGTACTCTTTCGTCCCGGAAACATGTTTGATGGCCCTGGGGCCCGATAACAGGCCCAGAGGCCGAAATCTAGTGAAAACACCATATCGTCGGAGATCTGGGTTCCCCTCCTGGGAGCCGAAGATGCTGGCGGCGCCCGGCGCGGCGCCCAGCGTGGGCGCGGCCCCCGCCCCCGAGGCGGCGGGGCTCAGGCCGGCCGCCTCCTTCGGGCCAAGGGGGGGGCTGAGAATGAGACTGACTACATCGAAGCCCGAGGGAAATCCTCGGCACAACGGCGGCACAGATGGAATCCAGTCCTCCACCTGGAGGAACTCGCAAAGCTTACCCTCCGAGCGAACTCCTTCACACCACGAAGCAAACTCAACCACTGCAGTCGGGGAGATGAAGCTGCAGAGGGAGGCCACATCAAAGGCAAAGAACTGGGGAAGCTGGAAACCGCAGGACGGCGACGACAGACGACGACGGGTCGGGACGTCCAGGGGGGGGGTGAAGGAGGAAGCACGAGGAGGAAAATTGTTGGTAGGTGCGGATTTGAAGCGATCCGCTTCGCCGCCACGCGGCCCAGAAAGAAACTAACCCTCAAGAGGCCAAAGCTCGGCTCTGGCCGAATCAGAATTAATTGTCCTGCACTCCTGAACCCATTCGACCACCGCATCGGGTGAAAGGAAGAGGGAGTGAGGAAGAGCAGGGAGGAAAGAACAGGAGGAGGGGGAGGAGGAAGCTTTTGAAGGAGAGGGAGGAACATCTCGGAGGAGTAAGCAGAACTTCATATGTTTGGGCTGGGGAGGAGGAGGGAGGTGGAGGGAGGATGAAGTAGGAGGAGGGAGGGGTGGAAGCGGGGCGACATTGTCTTAGGGCCAACGACCAAAAACCCAACCTAGATGGGGCAAAAAAGACAGGTCGACTGACCCTTCCCATCCTGAGATGGAGCCCAGCGTTGAGCACCCTCCAATGTTCGCTCCTGTGCGGCCCAGCGAGAGGCGGCACGCTTCTAACGCTCCCCGTAACTTGCCAATGAAATCATTCCCCATGAGATCCTCTGCCTCCAATGTAATGCCAAGCTTCGCAACCTGCGCGAGCCAACTCCAGTGGCAACCCGGAGCCATGCGTCTGGGCGACGGCCTGGGCCTCCGAGCCGATGGCATCGATGAACGACTCGGTGACCTGCACGGCCTATGGCATCTTCCGAAGTGCTCTTTCCGCTTCGCGCCAAACTTCTCACCCTCCACGAAAACCAACCCCAGCAGCGCCCCGAAGCCGAGGTTCTGGGCGTCGACCTGGTCCTCGGAGCCAAGTGCGTCGACGGACGGACGCATCGCTGACTACTCGGCGGTCTGCACGGCCGCCTCGACTGCGCACTTCGAGGGCGCAGACACAACGCGTCTCCAGCTTGCCAAGGTCGCAGTGGGTTGGTCGGGCCACACTGGACTTGCATGCCCACCCAACCCAGCAGCGAACGGCGGGTGCAGGTCGCAAGTTGCATGCCCAGAATTGCAGGAGGGAGGAGGGCGGAGGGAGGAGAGCGGAGGGGGGAGGAGGGAGGAAGGAGGGTGAGGGAGGGGTAGGGGGCGCGGAGGCTGGAGCGGTCCTTGGGCTTCTCCGGTGCTGGCGTCGCGCCGAACGAGAACAGGGAGGCGCCTCCGCCGCTCCCCGCGGGCTCCTTCGCGGCCGAGGCGAAGATGCTCCCGCCGTCCTTGGCCGCGGACCCGAAGATGCTGTCCGCCGCGGCATTCGCCGCCGAGCCTCCGAAGATACCGCCCGCGCCCTTGGCCTCGCTCCTGGCAAAGGCGACGCCAGGAGCTGCGGCCGTGCTCTCCTCCTGCCGGGGAGCCCGAAGACACCTGGGACGCTGAAGACAGAGGAACGCCGAGTCGCTCGAAGCTGCCTCCTTTCCAGCTGGCTTCGGTCACGATTCTGAGTCCGCCGCCCCCCTCGAGGGCGCCAGGCTGTGAGGTCTTCTGCTGGACGGCTGCCTAGTTTTTTGTTGTTGTTCTCTGTTGTCTCTTGAGTCCTGTCTCTACGTTTCTGTCTACTGGGGACCCTAGATGCCTCAAAAAGCCACTGGGGGGCGGGCGGGGGGCTTGACTTCCTGACCGCTCGAGGTTGCCTCAAGATCCCCATTGGACGCCACCGCACGGCCAGGAGAGCCCAGGGCCTCGAAGACTGCCGCAGGAAGCTCGAAGATGGCCTCAAGCGCTCAAGACGGCCGAAGATGGCCACAAGGTGCCTCTAAGATGGCCCAGGAGGACTCCCGGACGCCCCCAAGACGGCAAGAAATGCGGGAAACGCGTACGTGTTGCTCCCTGATGTCAAAATTATCGCTTCAAGACGGATCCCAGAGTCCAGAGCCCCCGAGATTGCCCAAGACGGCCCCAAGGTGGCTCCAAAAGTTGCCAAGACGCCGCCCAAATCGGCCAGGACGGCCCATCAGGGCTCCAAGACGCCCTCATGATGGGCTCCAGAGATCTCAAGATAGCCCCGAGATGATACCCATGATGGCCCCAGAACGTTACAAAATAGCACCAGAAAAATTCAGCCAGGGCTAGCGGCAGAGAGCGCAGCCCTCCTCCTTAGTCCCAGGAGGAGCACAAGGAACGGTACCAGGAGAGAGAGCAGGTAGAGCAGGAGGCGGTGGATCAGGAAACCAAGGATCCGCACTAGCAGGAGAAAGGAGAAAGATCAAAAGGGGAAGTCTGACAGAGCTTCCAGAGCGCCTGAGAGAACCCAATGCTTTTGTCGTTCAATCGATGCGACTTTCAAAACACACGATAGGAAGTGCGACAAAGAAACGCGGGGATCCGACGGGATCGGACTCGTGGATTTCAAGCGTCGCCTCGATGAAGCGAGGAATACTATCACATGCGACGATAAAACAAGAACTAGTTTGCCAACAACAGGTAGACTTGCTCCTATGACTCTGCCGCCACCTGTGCACCTCCTTGAGGAGCTGGGCGGAGGGGATCGGGACTGCAAGGCGCACGGTCGTTTTCCTCGAACTCGTGGGATGCAGCAAGGAGGAGCAGCAGGGAGAGGAGCAGGAGGACACTCAAATACATGATCTCCAGATGCCAGGGTCGCCTGAAATATCCACGTGTTCGACAGAGTAAACTTGGTTTCAAAAGCGCGCAGTTCCCCAGGAGGATCAGGGGAGGAGGAAAGAAGGGGGGCAGGGGAAGGAGGAAGAGGAAGAGGAGGGCAAGGAGGAGAAAGGGAGGGGGAGGAGCATGAGGAGGAAAGAGAGAGAAAGAGAGAGAGAGAGAGAGAGCATGGATAGGAGGCCTGGGTCCGGGAGCCATAACTAACTCGGGTCTCTGGCGGCCGTTCGGGACGACTCGGGCACCCACAGAGCGCTCTTGGCGAGGCGCAGCTGCTGGAGAGCACGCCGAGGCTGGAAAACCTGCGAGAACCGAGGCGAGGAGGATGGCGAGGATGACGGGGAGGAGAGGAGCAGCAGCAAGAGACTTCACCAAACAAGATCTCGAACTTCTGGGGGCGCCCGCTCCCGATCCTTGGCAGCCGGGGCGCCGAAGATGCTGGGCACCGCGGCCTTGCCGGTCGGCCGCGCGGGCGGGGGGACTCCCTCCTCCCTGGCCGCTGGGGACCGCTGCGCCCTCCATCGCCTGGCGCACAGTGGCACACCCGCTCCGCCCTCCTGGAGAGGGGCATCCGCCATGGTCCAGGCCGCGACGCGCGGAGCGTGGATTGCCTTCGCGCCCTTCGCGGGTGACCAAGCTGTTCCCGACCCCGCCCTGGAGGAGGGCCCACAGCGTCGGCGACCCGTCCAAGGGCTCGCGGGGGAATCTCCTCCTCGTGGCCGCGCAGCAGGTCTGTCAGAAAACAAACGCGCACACACAGACACAGACACAGACACAGACACAGACACAGACACAGACACAGACACAGACACAGACACAGACACAGACACACACACACACACAGAGACACACACAGAGCTCACGCCTCCTCCCCCCTCGGAGGGGAGAGGGAAAGGCGGATGAGGAGAGAGAGAGAAAGAGAGAGAGAGAGAGAAAAAGAGAGGCGGGAACATGATCCGGGGAGGCGGGGAGAGAGAAAGAGAGAGAGAGAGAGAGAGGCGGGGAGCGCGGGGGGAACACGATCCGGATAGAGAGAGAGAGAGAGAGGGGGAGGCCCGGGAGAGAGGAGGATCGGGCAGAGGAGGGGAGGAGGGGACGGATACCTGGAGACAAGGAAGAGGGGGGGACGAGGGTGGAGCATTGGGAGGAAGGGGTCGAGGGATTCACGGGGAACAGAAGGAAAGCGGGAAGTGGGGGGAGAGAGTGGGGGAGAGAAGGTCGGAAGGGGAGGGGGTGGAGAGGGGTTGGGAGACGGGGGTGAGAGGGGGAGGGGGGGAGGAATGCGAGGACAGAAGGGCTGGCGGGGGAGAATGGGGAGAGGAAGGGGGAATAGGAGAACAGAAATAACAACGTAGATGAAGGGGGGGACGCATCGGATGTCGAGCCTGGCAAGTCTGGATCGCTGGGGCTTGGGAACAGGGCCCCCCCGCTGTGGCCGACGCGTCGTACAACCGGGAGGCGAGGCAGGAAAGCAGGTGGAGCCCTCCTCTTCCTCCTCCATCTCCCCCTCCATTCCTTCTTCTCCTCCTCCTCCTCCTCCTCCTCCTCCTCCTCCTCCTTCTCTTCCTCCCCCTCCACCCCATACTCCTCGGTTCTCGGTTTTCGTCCCGCTCCCCCCCACTTCGTCCTCCTCCTGATCCCCCCTTCCTCCTCCTCCTTCCTCCTCCTCTGCCAAAACTTCCTCCACACTCACTCTTATAACGCAAGCTCCCCTTCGTCGCACCAACAAACGTGCGGCTACACCATTCAGGGCGTCTCGCCTGATACTTCCCTACGGTGCATTATCGTAAACCTTGAAATGGGTTTGGCAGGGGGTCCGGACATACAACTAGCGGAAGCAAAACATGTGCAACAACGCAACGCAAGCAACGCAACTTAATATCCACCGGTGCCCCCGCGGAGCCCTCAAGACTGCCCTTCAGGAGCCCAAGACGGCCTCAAGACTGCCCATGCATGCCCTAAGAGGGCTTCTCAAGAAGTGGAGACGAAGAGGTGTCGCATGTGACACCCTTCTGGGCGCTGCTCGAAAGGTGGCCACACAAAGGAGTGCTTCACTGGTACGGTGCCGGATTCGCCGCAAGCACTTGGACACACAGACGCACATACACACACACACTCTAGTTTCGTCCGCGCGCAGTGGTGTCAATCCAAGTGCGCAACTCTTCTGCCATTATCTCGCCAACGGCACGACGAATGAAAAACCGGGTTGAAACGGCTCGCGTGCCACAGGCAGTTGAAACAATTTATATACATGCACTTGCGGGCACGGCGCAAGCATGGTTTCACGAGGGTCATTGTTGTAGCTGTTTGTCTTCACATTCGCATCGAAACCGTGCTCTGCGCACCACCCACATGTCAAGCAACCACACTTGTGGTTTCTGGGCGGAGAGAAAGAGAGAGAGAGAGAGAGAGAAAAAGAGAAAGAGAGTGAAACAACATGTGCACACGTAAATAGTTTCACATCGGTGTCTCTATATATATATATATATATATATATATATATATTTGTATATATGTACATATTGCGATGCGCACCTGTCCGAGGGAAGAGAACTCACAGGCGATTATTTATACCGCCGCCGTTTTGTTTTTTTTTGACGGGTGGGCGGTTTTTGCGCACGTGTATGACCTCCGAACGTGTACTTATGTGCATGCAGTGCAGTCACCTCTTCTTCGCGTCCAGCAGGCCGGCCTGGACGCAACCTGCAGTCAGAACAACAACGGGCCACGTTTTGTCAACCGACCGCCGGCCAACAATTTTTACGGACTGTAACGTCTGCGTTCTCTTGGGTCGCAAACGGCCCCAAAACCATAATTCGCCGGCCCATCGGGCAAAAAACATGCTAAGATCTCCGGTAACTGCTTTACAATAATTCTACTTCGCGCGCGCGGGGCGGCCGTGGGGGTCCGCAGACGAAAAGCACCCCAGGCAAGTCCCGGGCAACTCGGGTCAGATGGTGGTCCTCCTGGGCGACGCCCTCGAGGCCGTCCAGAGCCCCAAAAAAAGCCAAGAGGCCGCCAAGAGCTCCTCAAAATGATACAAGAGAGCTCCGAGATGCCACAAGATCGTTCCAAGACGCTCAACATGGCCCCAAGACGGCCCAAAAGGCCTCCAACAATACTCTCAAGAGGGCCCCAAGAAGCAACATTTATTGTTTCCCCGGAGGTTTTGGACATATTTTGGTATTTTGGCGTTTTCACCTTTTCGGCTTCCCGGCACCCCAAGAGGGCCCAAGAGGCCCCCAATACCACCTCAAGAGGGCCCAAGAGGCCCCGAGCCCTCGGCCCTAAGAAGCCCTCAGGAGTCCCCTGGAGGCCCCTAAGAAGCCCCAAGAGCCCAACAGGCCCTCAGGACGCGCCCAACAAGCCCCCAAGCGGCCCCAGAAGGCCCCCCAAATGCCCCCCCGAGCACGCAAGCAAGCACCAACGACCCGACGCGTTTAAGAGTCCCCAAGAGGCCACCTAAAAGCCTCCCGAAGGAGCCCTTTCGGAGCACAGCAAACTCTGAGAGATGAAATCCTTCGCGGCGTCACTCCCGCCGTCCCCCCATAACTTCTCGAGAACAACCGGTCGAACCGATCCCTGGGGCAGTGAGGTCGCGCCGGGGCGATGGGATCCGAGCTTGGCAGAGTCCACGTCGCACCAGCTCGCCACGCGAAGCTTCCCAAGAGCCTCTGCGGGAGCGAGCCCTGGGGGAGGCCCCCCCGGCGCTCGCGCCGACTACTCGACGATGTCGATGGCCTCGCGCTGCGCACGCGAGACGAGACCAAAAAGCGGAGCGCCCTGCCCAAGCCCCGGCTGCGGAGCGCGGCAGAACATCCCGCAGAGGCTCCGCGCGGCCTTGTCGCAGTTTAGCTCCACGGCAGCACGGGCGCCAATCCTCTGCCGCACCGACCGGCTGACTGCGCCCACCTCGTCCGAGAAAGACCCGGCGGCCGGCCCGGCGGGGGGTCGGAAAGATGTCGCAAGGGACAGCGCGACCATCACCTGCGTCAGAACTTCGGCCAGCCGCGGCAGCTAGCCCGGGGCGAGGAAGGCGGTCGGGCCCCGACCCGGAAGGACCCGACGGGTGCGAGGAGGGCGTCATTGCCCCTTCGGCCCCTGGCGGAGGGCCGCCCGTTTTTCTCGCGCAACTCTCAAACTCTTGGCCAACATCGCCACCCGCTACACCTCGGACCGCGCGTGGTCCAACAGCTCCGGGCAAATCATCAGCGTGGCCGCTCGCCGTCCCCGCGAAGGCCTGCTGCTCCTCCAAGGACATCTTCCGCTCGTAGTTATTGGCCTCGGCCTCCCGCGCGCGCTCTGAATGTCCGAACTCGATAGTCTGGAGCCGCCGGAACTGGCACTCGACCATGAGCAGGTTGCCCCCGTCGAGCTGGTTCACCGGCAGCCCCTGGGCGAGCGCCTGGGCGATGTTGAAATGCTCGAAGACGCCCCGCGAGTTCCAGTCCAGCCGGCAGGCCGTCTTGAAACGCTCGTGGTGTTCCAGGAAGCCGCTACCCTCCTGGTTGATGAACTCGATGCACCCCAGGCTCGAGCGCGGCCCCGGGAGCTGCTAGTCGCTCCCAAAGCTCTCCTGTTTGATGGGCGCCGTCATCTCCGCCCAAATGCGCCCGCGTCGGTCCTGACGGATGCGCCGGATCGGAATGATCCGCGCGTCCGCGGCGACAGCTCGGTCGAATCGAAGAACGTGGCCTCGTCCGCGGGGTCGACGTGCTCGACGAAGACCCCGCTCCCGTCGGGCAGCACGTGCACGTCGCGGCTGCCGACGGTCAGCGCGTTCCTTGCGTGGTCCACGACGCCCCCGTACCTGAACGGCCCGAGCGCCATCGCGGCCCGCCACGCTGCTCGCGCCGGCGGGGCCGCCGCGCCCAGCGCCGCCCCTCTGCGGAGGCCCGATCCGAGCAGGCTGGGCGGCCGCCGCCACGATAGCACCCGCCACCACCAGCGGCCTCAAGAAGACGAGGTTCGCCAGCAACTGCGGGTCGCCTCGGACCGCCGTTATCCGCTGGCACTCAGCCTGGCCTCCGCCTGAGCGTCCGTCATCACCCTCGCCCTCTCTGCCGCCGTCGGCTCCTGGCGAAAGCGGTAGACCCGCCCAGGGGGCACTCCAGCTGGCGCCGCCGCCCAGCCCGCCGAGTACCTGACCGCGGCGACGTGCACGCTGTCGTCGCCGCGTAAACGTCCCCGTCAGGGCTGAGGATCACGTAGCTAGAACCCAACAGACCACCTGGCCGAGGACCAGCCTCTGGTGCTACAAGCGCTCGTCGTCTGCGAACAGCACGAACGCCCACTCCTTCACTCTCGGCGCCAGCGCCATCGCTTCGGCTCGTCACCCGCTTCACGCAGCACCTCGCGCCGCTCCAGGCGACCTGCAGCCCAGCAGCCAGCGCCACTTCGACGAGGACGCCGAGCAGCAAGGCCGCCCTCAGGCCCCAGGTGGAGGCCAGCCCCGCGAGCCCCGCGCGCTTGCCCTCCGGCGCCGCGGGGCAGCTGTCCGCCGGCGGCCACGCCGGCGAAGGCGGGGCGGCGACCCCTCCCGGGCAGCCCGGACAAGCCGGGCAGGGGGCGCAGGCCGCCAGCGGCGGGCACGCCGGGCACGCCGCGCACCTGCAGTCGGGCACTGGCGGGCACGTCGGGAAGCGCGCCATGTAGGCCCCCGCGACGCCGCCCGCCCATTCCAGCACGGCGACGTGCCCGGCCATCCGACCGCGGCCCGACGCCACTCTTTGCTTTGAGCCACCGCAAGTGCGGAGAGACCTGGATGACAGTGCTTGCGCCTGGGTACCGCAACACAGGGCGGCCAAGACCGAAACGTGCCAAGGATTCCCGTACAAGTACAACGCATATGCATATGTATATATATATATGTGTATATATATACATATATGTATACATTTACATACATACATATACATACATATACATACATACATACATACATACATGCATGCATGCATGCATGCATGCATGCATGCATACATACATACATACATACATACACACACATACATACATACATACATGCATGCAAACATACATACATACATACATACATACATACATACGTACGTACGTACGTACGTACATACATACATACATACATACATACATTCATACACACACATACATACATACATACATACATACATACATGCATACGTCCATACATACATACATACATGCATGCATGCAGACATACATACATCCATACATCCATACATCCATCCATCCATCCATCCATACATACACACATACATGTACATGCATACATACATATATATGCATGCATACATACATACATACATACATACATGCATGCATGCATACATACATACGAACATACATACATACATACATACATCCATACATACATACACAAATCCAGACATACACACACCTACATATACATATACATACATACAAACATACATACATACAAGAAACATCGCGCGCGCTTCGCGCGCGCTCAAGTTCTAGCTAGGCAGGAACGCCGAAATCTTGGGGACCTCTATTCCATGACACTTCTTCTCTGGGGCTTCCAAGAACCACGAAGACGGCCCAAGTGGATTCCAAGACTTCTTACGGTCCACGCACGACGGCTCAAGACAGGCCCAAAAGGCAATTCGGGGGCCCTTTTATTCGCCGCGGCTGGACGTAGTCGGAGGAAGAGGGAGGAGAAGGGGAGGTGAAGGGGTTCCCTGGGGAAGACGGAGAAGGAAGATGAGGAGGAGTTGGACAAGGTGGAGGCCGCAGAGGAGGAACCGGAGGAGGAAATATGGTATTCTTTTTTTGTACGCGTAGCGAACGTGCCAGGCGAACTTTCGATAAAGAAATATTGGAAATCCCGTTTTTCTCAAGTGCCCTCGGTGCCTTTCTCGGAGCTCTTTTGGGTCTCGTTGGGGCTTCTTGGGGACCTCTTGAAGCCTCCCGGGGGTCTCCTGGGGCGAAAATCTTGGGTTCTCGGCTCACGTTCCCGATCCTGGGCCGGGCTCTCTCGGGCCGCCTTGGACGTCTCTTCTGCACTTTTGAAACTTGGGCCGTCTCGGGGCGCTTTTGAAGCCTAATTGGGGCGTCTTGGGGCGATCCTTGGAGCCTCTTGGACCGTTTTGCAGCGTCGGGAAACGCAACAGGCGGAAACGCCAAAATTGTTCAAACACCCATGAATATATACATATGTATATGTATATGTATATGCATATGTATCTTTTTTATATATATATATAAATATATATAGATATCTATATATATATAGACTTTTATATATAGGCCTCATCGAGCTCTGTTGGGAGACCTCTCGGAAGCCTATTGGGTGTCTTTGGGGCCTCTTCTTGGGCCGTCTGGAGCGAAAAACACCAGCCCATCCACAGCGAAATTAAGCAACGTTGTCATTGAGTCGAAGGGAAGCCCCTTCCCTTTGATTCCTTCCCGTCGGAGGGGTGGGGGCCGGGGAGCTTCCCAAGTGGCGGTCCCGGGGGATGGTCCCCGGGAAGGGTCCCAGGGGGTGGTCCCGGGTCAGAATACCACCCTCCCGTGGCCCATGGCCCGCCCTCCCTCCAATTTCCGTCGAGGGCCGAGGCCTCAGGGGTCGGTGGCACCCGCAGTAAGGACTCAGAAATATATGTTTGTTGGCCTCTTCGAGCTCTGTTGGGAGACCTCTTGGAAGTCTCTTGGGTATCTTGGGGGCCTCTTGGGCAGTCTGGAGGCCGTCTTGGACCATCTAATAGCCTTCGGCCCATTCCGCCACCGTTCCTGGGTTATGGGTTAAAGGCCTCTTGGAAGCGTTTGGAATTCGTGGGAGGCCTCCCGGGCGCCTCTTGAAGGCAGCTTTGGAGGCCTCCTGGGGGTCGTTCGGGGTGCTTTGGGAGTCTCTTTTTGGACCTCTTTGGGGCCTCTAGGGGCTCTCTAGGGGGGCCTCTAGGAGGCCTCTAGGGCTCTCTTGGGGTCTCCTGGGGGCCTCTTGGGGCGGAAGGCTCGAATTGTCGGATCGTGTTCCCCCTCTTGGGTACCTCTTGGGCCGTCTTGGGACCCACTTGGGCGATCTTGGGCGCCTCTTGGGCCGTCTTGGGGCGCTCTGAGGCCGTCTTGGGACTCTCTTGCGCCGTCGCGTCGCCCTCTTTGGGTGCCTCTTAGGCTGTTGAGCTGGTTTCTGGGGCCTCGTGGGCTGTCTTGGACCGTCGGAAGCACGAAACAGCGAGAACACGAAACACCTGCAAAAACAATGGAACAAAACTACTTTGTTCGCCTCCTGAGGGCCTCGTGGGAGTCCTTTTGAGGGCATCTTGGCCGTCTTGAAGCCCTTTTGGGCTGCCTTCAAGACATGCTGGACCAATTTTGAAACGCTCTTGTGCGGTCTTGGGCTCTCTTGGAACGCTCTTGGGCCGTCTTGGCGCCCTCTTGGACGTCTTTGGCCCTCTCGTCGCCCCCCTTCCCCTCCTTTGACGCAGTCTGGCACACCCGACGGGCTGGAAACGGCCGGAAGACATATCAGTGGACTCAAGACCACCAGGCACCCCCTCCCCATTCTTATAAGTATATACACATGCATACACATACATACATACATACATACATACATACATACATGCATGCATGCATGCATGCATGCATGCATGCATGCATGCATGCATGCATACATACATACATGCATGCATACATACATACATACATACATACATACATACATACATACATACATGTATATATGCATGCACGTATACAACTATATGTATATGTATATATATATATGTGTACATAGCTATGGTGTCATGTATGCATGTCTGGATGCATGAATGCATGCATGCATATATGTATGTACGTATGCATGCATGCATGCATGAATGTAGGCGTGAATGTGCGAGTGTGTGAACGTGTAAATGTGTACGGTTGTTTGGTTGTCTGCTTGTATGCGTGAATGTATGCATGTATGGACGTGCGTACATACGTACACGTGCACTTAGGTATGTATGAATGAATGTATGCATGTTTGTATGAATGTATGTATGTGTGTACCTATGTTTATGTATGTATGCATGTACGTTTGTATGTATGCATGCATGTATGTATGTAAGTAAGCGGAACAAGGCTTCGAGTCTAGTCACCTTGGACTCCCAGCGCTTCACAGCTCGAGCTTCGTCGCCGCTCCTGAACAGGACGACGTTTTGCAGCGGCAAGTGCACTGGCAACCTGACAACCGCGTGCGATCCCCTTTGAGTGGGGAAACGCTGAATTCTCCACGACGCCTCTGGCGCACCGACATATCGACCTTCGACGAAGCTGGGACCGCCCCCGTGTCCCCTGGCACGTCGAGGCTTGACGGAACGCCAAGTGCTGTCAGGTAGGGTCTGTCTTATCGTCTATGGATTTCGCGTCCACTCCCGAGGAACTGTAGCGTGCATTTCCCTTCCTCTGAAAGCTTCCCTGGGCAGTCCGACGCGTCCCGGGCTTTCTCAGACGCGAAGGACGTCCATGGTGCCTTCGAAAAAGGCCCAGCTGAGCCGTCCGAAACTTCCAAGGCGGTTCCCCGAACGGCTGCCGACTGCCGTAGAGCTTGTGAAGAGGACCCGATACCCAAGAAAGTTTCCATGGCCGCCCTGCCAAATTACCCGACATTGCGGACATGGCCAGACGTGCCTGTTACACGGCCCAAGACGACCAATGATGACCTCCAGAAGTCCTAACAAGCTGCGATTCTGGCCCAATATCGTTTCAATAAAGCCTCTGGCAAGCCTGGAGAGATTCAAATTATGGACGTTTATGATAACACGTTTACGGTTACGATATCCGCACTATTGTGACGTCGAACAGAAGGATTTCCTGCCCCAGCCAGA